AGATAAAGTCCCTGTGGTACACATGAGAGGTATGTTAGAAAAGACTGTTTGGATTAATCCCACCTCAGGTAAGAGCAAACCTATCCGTGGGATTGTCTTCGCTCAAGGACCTGGTTGCACTTGGTGGGTAATGCGGAAAGATGGGGAAACCCGATGTGTGCCACAAGGAGACCTCATTTTAAGTGAGAACTGTGTGTAAGGTTCCATTGTATATATATATATGTGTGTGTGTGTGTGTGGAGTTTAAGGAAGGTACTGATTTAGAATTATGTAGATGGTAATAGAATAAGGGGTGGATTATGTCCTGGGTTGCAGTATATTCTATCACCATCCTCATGTACTGTTGAAACCAGGTGAGGCAGTGCTCCCTGCCTCCCCCCCCTCCCCGGGCTACCTTCTGTTAATGGGCCCATCAATGCCCTGCCCCATGACTCATAGATAACTTCCCCCTGTATTGTCCCCTGTTAATGGGCCCACCACTGCCTTGCTGCATGACTCAGAGATAACTTCCTCCTGGACTGTTTTCTGTTAATGGCTCATCAAGGCCTTATCTCATGACTCACCATCTCATTGTGAGATGCTCCTCCCCGAGGGAGGAGCCAAGCATTCCATACTGGATATAAGCTGAGAATTCGAACACCACGGCAGCCCTTACCTACGGGACTTCCAGAGGACAGGAGCTACTGCTGGACTTTCAGCTGAAGACCAGACCCCCTTTCTTCCAGAGGATCACGCTTCAACAAGACCACCTCATCTGGACGACTACCATCACCCTAACAGGGTTCCAGGCTGTATTCTGACTCTGTCAGTGTTTTTGATATTATTGCATTTATTTTTTTATCATTTTCCTATTAAATTATAATTCTGACTTGCGATCTCTCACTGGTTTGATTTCAAACTAGTACACCACTACTCACAGGTGTGTGCAGGCTCCATGCCAAGTTACCTCTGCCATGCCACAGCTTTTGTATTCTGCTTAGATTCCTTAGATTTTAATCAGCTGCACACATAAACCAA